TTCCGAAAAGTAATTGTCAATAAGGGTCTTGGACTAGGGCTAGAGCTAGATGTTGTGAAGAAAGCTCTTTTAGGTGCCAAACCTTCTTTAAATTAGCATTTTTTTGTAATCTTGCTAGGGGGAAGATATGAGTTTGCTCATGGCACCAGATTTGGTAATGTTTTAAAAAATGGAACAAAATGTTACTTATCTACCGAGAGATTTGGATAAATTAGGGGATTGGGCAGGTAAGTAGGCAATGAGATTCAATGTAACTAAATGCAGTTTGGGACCAAAATAAATATGTAACATAATATATACTCTAAATGACACTGATATGAGAGTAAACACAAGGACTTGTACTTAATGATAGATAAATGCTAAGGCAGCAATGAGCAACGTCAGTCAGAGACAGCAAAGGGATAGGGAATAGGGATTTTGCTTTCTCAACATGTTTCGCACCTTCCTTGGTGCTTTCGTAACATGTTGAGAAAGCACCAAGGAAGGTGCGTAACGCGCCCAGGGCTTTCACACTCTTTTTCAAAGTAGTCTTCTGGGTGATCTCTCCCCAGTCTGGCAGTTGCAGGTAGTACGGAAAATTAATATTTTCTGAACATTTATGTTTTTAAATTTTTTTTTTCTCTCTTCCTAGGAAATTTGTGTCATCTCAGTGCACTACAATGTTTTGGTGTGATATGCCTGTACTACATTTAGCATCTATGAGGGCTACACTGACAGCATGATACCATGACTTTTTGATATGCATACTTTTTATCAATAAATGTGCAGTCTTTCGGTATACGTAATTTTTCTGTGGATTATCTATGTGTGCAGACCTACATGCACCTATTGTGACACACGTTCCAGAAGGCTGTTTGAGAACCGATTTGTTCGAAAACCGAATTCCGTAAGAATTAATGTAAATTGGTTTAATCTGTTCCAGACCTCCAAATTTACAGCATTTTAACACATTTTTTACAGTTTAATAATATGTTACATGCATAAAATCATACAGAAAAACAATAAACACAATGTAAATTAAATTCAAATTTAATTTCACTTTACCTTTTAGCTCTGTTCACTGACATAATGGAGCTCTGGTCGCTTTGTCTAGTGCAAGGAGGCCGATACATCATACCAACGAGGTGCCAAAGAGGTACCAATGAGGTTAATGCCATGTTATTATGTTCTAATACTGAGTTTTGTTCGTTACCGAGACATTTTTTTCTCAATTTTTTTGTCTGAATACCAAATTGTTAGATTACAGAAGCGTTCCAGTTCCGAGGTTCCACTGTATTTATATAGTAATACATTTCACAGCGCTTTGCAATCCTAGAATGGGGATAACTGACAACAAGTAGTTGACTTACAAAATATTAAAAGACGAGACATAAAGTATCACTTTAAATTAAAATAAAACTTCAGTCCATCAAACTTAGGAGACAGATTAAGTCTCTTCATTGGCTTCTTGGGCTCAAGTAGTGGAGGAGGGGAGAGATATGGAGTGTATGCTTTCCCACTTGCATAAGACTCAGGAATCCTACAGAGAGACATGACTGGTTAGTGGTCTTCTCCTCACCAGAAGTTCTGGACTATGAATCTTGAGATTAGACACTATCCACTGCAGTGCCCCCTGCTGGAGCTGTGGAATACAATGCAATACTGCAGATACCCTGGTGCCATGTGGTGTCCCTGGAAGACACTAGGTGACCAAGAGATTGCAGAGCAGTAGGGCAGGATCTGAAGTCATTGTTGGCCAGCCTCCATAGTGGACTGCCCTTTGTGGAGATTAGATGGTGTACAGGATTGCTCACTAAGTCAAAACAGCCAAACTGAGTCAAATATGCTTTTCATTCAGCTACTCTGGCCATAATCAATAAAATTAATCTTGAATTCTCACTTTAGTAAATAACCCTGTTTGTGTTTAGGAGAGTTCCTTCCGTGTCTTTCCTTCTCACTCTCTGTCTCTCTCCTTTCCTTTCTCTTTTTCACTATCCCTCTTTTTTTCTTTTCTTCTCCTACTTTCTTTTGATGTTTGTTCTCCTTCCTCTTTTGATCATGGAGTAACTGACAGTATCCCCTGGAGAAGTATCGTGGATAACAGACTTAATTCAATGATACCATCTGCTCCCTGTGAAATAAGGATGTAACCAACCTTTACAATATTAAACACTGTGCATTTTTTGTCTTTGTAATGGTTTTAATAGGGTGATGATGTCTGTTGTTATAGATCACTTATTTGTTGTCCTTTGCTATACTCACATATGAGACTATTGTATGGTTATATTTGGATTAACTGACCTTGTCCTTGAAGTTTTAATGATCTCTGTTATTCTTATAAAACATCCTAATAAAACTTTTATTGACACTAAAAGTTCAGTGCCTGCTGCAAGCGGAACTATATATATATATATATATATATATATAAAGAAAATGGGGTTCTAGGTGGAAATAAGTGAAATGAACCAAAAATGGAAGTTGGTAAGTGTCTGTGGGATTAATGACCCAATTATTCAAACCTCTGTAGCATTACAGACCAAGAGGAAATAACTTTGAGTTGCTGTCACACCACACGGGTAGTGTTTGCCAATTTGAAACAGATCTTGGTAGAGAACTGTGCCAGGAACCTTGTGCTGAGCAGAGGGGTATGAAGCTAATAATGCTTAACAATTGTCCATTCTCCCTGCTGCAAGACGTTACTTCAACGGTAATGTACTTTTTACCTATGCAGAGACGCACAATTAGCAGATGAGCTGGTATTAGTAATGTACTATCAGCGACATGCAATGTGGTCTATCATAATAAAAGAATGGCTTTATGTGGTACATACAAACCTCTGAAAATTTTACATGAATAAATGTGATTACTAAAACAAAATGTACTGATACAAAAAAACGTATGTTAGTACATGAAGCAAAATTTGGCATTGCACAAACCTGTGCACCAAGCTATAATAATTAATATGTATTTATTAATAGAACATTAACAGATTATTAAATGCGGATAGCTGAGTTACAAGCCCATCTTGTCTGGTTATTGTGCTGTTCTGAATTGGCAAAATGCATTGTTACCAGTTACACAAAAGTTGGGGCAAATATATTGAATTATTTCTGCCCCCTGATATTAGGCTGATGCCCTTGTTCTCAGAACCACGTTCTTGGCACAACCCTTTACTCAGCTTTGTTTGGAATTGGCAACCATCACCCATGTGGTGTGACTGCAAATAAAAGTTATTTCCTCTTGGTCTGCAATATCATAGAGGTTTACATACTTGGTTAATTAATCTTTCACAAGTGCTTACCAATTTCCTCTACGGTTTTATGCAGCTTTTGATGTTTTTTTATTTTTCAAGTACTTGTGAAACTGCTCTTTTAGCATAGACCACAATTTCAGTGAGTAAAGCAAACACATTCTGCAGGTTTGTCCATGGGTACAAATGGCACAAGTTAAAAGAGAAATGTACAATACATCTAAGAGACAATACAGTATTTAACTAACAAATACAGGAGAATTTGAAGGGACACTATAGTCACCAAAACAACTTAGATTGGTGAAGCAGTTTTGGTGTATAGCTCCTGCCCCTGCAGTCTCACACTGCTTAATTCTCTGCCATTTAGGAGTTAAATCACTTTGTTTATACAGCCCTAGTCACACCTCCCTGCATGTGACTACACAGCCTTCCTAGACACTTCCTGTAAAGAGTCATCAAATGTTAACACTTCTGTTTAATTTAGAATTTCTTATCTCCTGCTCTGTTAATAGCTTGCTAGACCCTGCAGGAGCCTCCTGTATGCAATTAAAGTTCAATTTATAGAGCAGGAGATAACTTCTAAAGTAAGTTAAAACCATTTTGTTTTCTTGCAGGCTGAGTCAGTGACAGCCAGGGAAGGTATGGCTAAGGCTGCATAAACAGAGACAAAAGTGTTTTTTGTTTTTTTTATTTTTTTTAAATATTCTTTATTTTTACGGTGCTTTGAAGACCAATATGCAACAATGTAGAAATAAAGGTAAACAGCTTAAGCAGTGAGTGCATGTTATATAGAACAAGATGAGTGCACCATTTAATTTTTTTATTTTTTTTTTAAACAAAACAGCAATCAGAGCAATCATGCTTAAGCTTAGAATGGTTAAGATATGCTTAATTTACTAGTTTATAGTGATTGAGTAGACAAAGGCGCTAGCCAACATGTGGAGTATCCCTATCAGGCGTCCAGTACGAAGGGTGAGAGCCCCTAACCAAAGGGGCAACAAGGGGAGGGGTGCTTTGGTAACATAATAGACACAATGGAGTGTGAGCTAAGAGACATATCTGCTATTTATGTCTCCTGAAGCCTAGTGGGGCACAGCTCAAACAGGGCAATAGCCCAAAGATCAACATAGAATGTGACGGCAGATAAGAACAATTCGGCCCATCTAGTCTGCCCAATTTTCTAAATACTCCCATTAGTCATTGGCCTTATCTTATAGCTAGGATAGCCTTATGCCTATCCCACGCATGCTTAAACTCCTTTACTGTGTTAACCTCTACCACTTCAGCTGGAAGGCTGGTCCATGCATCCACTACCCTCCCAGTAAAGTAATACTTCCTGATATTATTTTTAAACCTTTGCCTCTCCAATTTAAGACTATGTCCTCTTGTTGTGGTAGTTTTTTCTTCTTTTAAATGCTGTGTTGATTCCCTTTATGTATTTAAATGTTTCTATCATATCCCTCATGTCTTGTCTTTCCTCCAAGCTATACATGTTAAGATCCTTTAACCTTTCCTGGCAAGTTTTATTCTGCAATCCATGAAACAGTTTAGTAGCCCTTCTCTGAACTCTTACCAAAGTATCAACATCCTTCTGAAGATACGATCTCCAGTACTGTGTACAATACTCCAAGTGAGGTCTCACCAGTGTTCTGTACAATGGCATGAGCACTTCCCTCTTTCTACTGCTAATACCTCTCCCTATACAACCAAGTTTTCTGCTAGCATTTCCTGCGGCTCTATTACATTGTCTACCTACCTTTAAGTAATCTGCAATAATCACCCCTAAATCCCTTTCCTCAGATGTTGAGGTTAGGACTCTATCAAATATTCTGTACTCTGCCCTTGTGTTTTTACGTCCAAGATGCATTATCTTGCACTTATCCACATTAAATGTCAGTTGCCACAACTCTGACCATTTTTCTTGTTTACCTAAATCATTTGCCATTTGGCTTATCCCTCCTGGAACATCAACCCTGTTACATATCTTAGTATCATCAGCAAAAAGACATACCTTACCATCAAGACCTTCTGCAATATCACTAATAAAAATATTAAAGAGAATGGGTCCAAGTACAGATCCCTGAGGTACCCCACTGGTGACAAGTCCAAGCTTCGAATATATTCCATTAACTACAACCCTCTGTTTCCTGTCACTCAGCCACTCAGCCACTGCCATTCAACAATATTGGAATCCAAACTTAAAGATTGCAGTTTATTGATAAGCCTTCTATGTGCAACAGTGTCAAAAGCCTTACTGAAATCTAGGTAAGCAATGTCTACTGCACCACACTGATCTATTATTTTAGTTACCCAACAAGGCGTAAAAGGAAGTTATATGAATAGAATAATGAAAACCTCAAATAAAAGAAACAGCAATATGAATGATAATTGCGTTAATGACCAAGTTTTATGCATGTATAGTTAGAGCAAATATACCTAGAGCTCATATGTCTCAATTTCGAGCAGTGTTAGGTAAATGTAGTGTTGTAGCCAATACAATTACCATGGTACCGGTGCTTGGTAGTTTCTGTCCTTTGGAACAAAAGGGCCAATAGTGTCAAGAACCCATGGTTCTGCAGTGAGCCACATAGCCAGGTTAGAGTTCGAGGATGTCAACCCTAATCTTTGAGTAGAGGTTTTCAAAGGGTAGAGGCGTTTTACCCTTAAATGCTGACATGATTTGGATCTTGTCCTGAACAGACTGTGCCAGGTATACGGAATACCCCATTAGTAGCAATCTTGTTTTTAATTGCAAGAGACAATATTTTTGCCAGTAGACATCTAGTGTAGTGTGGCAATTCCTCTGTTGTGATTGCTGTAGGAATACCCCTGATTTTGATGTGTGTGCGGCATTGGCGGTCTTCCATTGCCGCTAGTTGGACCAACATTGCTTATTGTTGGGTTCAGATCTGCTGCACCGAATCTTGGAGCGTGGACAGGTAAATTTGTACTTTAACAATGTACTCTTCTGAGGCCTTTACATGCTCCCTGCTGGCCAGCATATCTGTTTTAATGGGAGCTAGTTCCACCACCCAAATTTTGTGGAACTTAGAGATGGTCATGCTTGGTTGCCGGGGGTTGAGTCGCCGGAGGACTCTGGAGAGAGGATTCGTAGTGGTTGCGGATCCAGTGAAGGTTCTTGCCCTTGCTGTTTGTGTTGAGTGTATGGTTCTTCTGCGGGAGTGGACCTGCTCTGTAGAGGCTGTTGCAGCATGGCCCCTATGTCCCAGGTCTTTGTCACTATGGTAGGCTTTTGTGAGCATCGACCCACGATTGGCATATGGGCAGTAGAGGTAGATGTTGCAGGAAGTGAGGGTCTGCTAAGGAGTGCCTCTAGGCCTGGGGATTTGAGTGCTTTAGCACCTCCATTTCGGCTCGGTTGCAGTAAGAAAGAATGGCATCTAGTAATGCGGCTAGTGCTGTGGGATCCAGCTATCAACTCTTTGTGGCTGATGGGATTCAAAAAAGTAATATACAACAAATAGGTGGAGCAATAAAAAACAAATACTATAAATACTTCCCTCTCTTCAATATACAGCCACAAAACTGAAACAGAAACAGAGGGAGACACAATAGTGTAAAACTGATAAAACAAAAGTTATCACTATATCTATAATTAGCACACTCACAAGGATAGAGCCACAAAGTGACCTGGCTCTAGTCTGGATAGCAGTAGGATCCTTAAGGGAGATCCAAATCCCACTCCAGTAGATGAGAAGGATGATGCAGGAACAATATCTACTTCAAAAGTAATAATTTATTCCAGAAATAAAAGAAAAGTATAAATCCATATAATCACCAAAACGCGTTTCGCCAAATAGGCTTCCTCAGTTGGTGGATATTATATGGATTTATACTTTTCTTTTATTTCTGGAATAAATTATTACTTTTGAAGTAGATATTGTTCCTGCATCATCCTTCTCATCTACTGGAGTGGGATTTGGATCTCCCTTAAGGATCCTACTGCTATCCAGACTAGAGCCAGGTCACTTTGTGGCTCTATCCTTGTGAGTGTGCTAATTATAGATATAGTGATAACTTTTGTTTTATCAGTTTTACACTATTGTGTCTCCCTCTGTTTCTGTTTCAGTTTTGTGGCTGTATATTGAAGAGAGGGAAGTATTTATAGTATTTGTTTTTTATTGCTCCACCTATTTGTTGTATATTACTGTATCTTGTGAAGGTGAAGGGGATACCTCACTGGTGTTTTGAGCAATTTTAATACTTTGGGATATACTTGTTTGTGTGTGGATTCAAAAAAGTGCTCACTTCTAATTTTTACATTAAATAGCAGCCGCAAGTTATTGCTATTAACAGTTGGCATTTAGTAGTGGCTGCTATTTACTAAAGGTTTCCATCCGTTTTGCTATTTCATACTAGCTGGCCCAGTATATATGTGTGTCAGTGTTTTCATCTGTATCTGTATGTGTGTCAGTGTTTGTATCTGTGTGTCTGTGTATCTGCATGTGTGACAGTGTTTGTTTTTGTGTATCTGTACATCTGTATATGTATCAGTGTGTGCGTCTGTATGTGTCAGTGTGTGTATCTGTGTGTCTGTGCAACTATATGTGTGTCAATGTTTGTATATGTGTGTCTTTATCTATATGTATCACTGTGTATCTGCATGTGTATCTGTGTGTTTGTATATTATGTGTGTCAGTGTTTCTGTGTGTCTGTACATCTGTATGTGTGCCAGTGTTTGTATCTGTGTATTTGCATGTGTGTCAGTGTGTGTCTCTGTATATCTACATGTGTGTCAGTGTTTGTATCTGTGTGTCTGTACATCTTTATGTGTTTCAATGTTTGTATATGTGTGTCTGTACGTCTCAATGTGTATCAGTGTTTGTATCTGTGTATTTACATGTGTGTCAATGTTTGTATCTGTGTGTCTGTGCAACTGTATGTGTGTCAGTGTTTGTTGTATCTGTGTGCCTACAATGTTTGTATCTGCATGTTTGTCAGTGTGTGTGTGTGTATCTGTGTAATTCAATGTGTCAGTGTTTGTATATGTGTGTCTGTATCTGTGTGTGTGTCAGTGTTTGTATCTGTGTATTTGCATGTGTGTCATTATGTAAATACGGGGTACAATTTATGGAAATGGGCTGCCACGGGGTACACAAGTGAAAAAAGGTTGAGAACTACAGGGAGTGCAGAATTATTAGGCAAATGAGTATTTTGACCACATCATCCTCTTTATGCATGTTGTCTTACTCCAAGCTGTATAGGCTCGAAAGCCTACTACCAATTAAGCATATTAGGTGATGTGCATCTCTGTAATGAGAAGGGGTGTGGTCTAATGACATCAACACCCTATCAGGTGTGCATAATTATTAGGCAACTTCCTTTCCTTTGGCAAAATGGGTCAAAAGAAGGACTTGACAGGCTCAGAAAAGTCAAAAATAGTGAGATATCTGCAGAGGGATGCAGCACTCTTAAAATTGCAAAGCTTCTGAAGCGTGATCATCGAACAATCAAGCGTTTCATTCAAAATAGTCAACAGGGTCGCAAGAAGCGTGTGGAAAAACCAAGGTGCAAAATAACTGCCCATGAACTGAGAAAAGTCAAGCGTGCAGCTGCCACGATGCCACTTGCCAGTAGTTTGGCCATATTTCAGAGCTGCAACATCACTGGAGTGCCCAAAAGCACAAGGTGTGCAATACTCAGAGACATGGCCAAGGTAAGAAAGGCTGAAAGACGACCACCACTGAACAAGACACACAAGCTGAAACGTCAAGACTGGGCCAAGAAATATCTCAAGACTGATTTTTCTAATGTTTTATGGACTGATGAAATGAGAGTGAGTCTTGATGGGCCAGATGGATGGGCCCGTGGCTGGATTGGTAAAGGGCAGAGAGCTCCAGTCCCACTCAGACGCCAGCAAGGTGGAGGTGGAGTACTGGTTTGGGCTGGTATCATCAAAGATGAGCTTGTGGGGCCTTTTCGGGTTGAGGATGGAGTCAAGCTCAACTCCCAGTCCTACTGCCAGTTCCTGGAAGACACCTTCTTCAAGCAGTGGTACAGGAAGAAGTCTGCATCCTTCAAGAAAAACATGATTTTCATGCAGGACAATGCTCCATCACACGCGTCCAAGTACTCCACAGCGTGGCTGGCAAGAAAGGGTATAAAAGAAGAAAATCTAATGACATGGCCTCCTTGTTCACCTGATCTGAACCCCATTGAGAACCTGTGGTCCATCATCAAATGTGAGATTTACAAGGAGGGAAAACAGTACACCTCTCTGAACAGTGTCTGGGAGGCTGTGGTTGCTGCTGCACGCAATGTTGATGGTGAACAGATCAAAACACTGACAGAATCCATGGATGGCAGGCTTTTGAGTGTCCTTGCAAAGAAAGGTGGCTATATTGGTCACTGATTTGTTTTTGTTTTGTTTTTGAATGTCAGAAATGTATATTTGTGAATGTTGAGATGTTATATTGGTTTCACTGGTAATAATAAATAATTGAAATGGGTATATATTTGTTTTTTGTTAAGTTGCCTAATAATTATGCACAGTAATAGTCACCTGCACACACAGATATCCCCCTAACATAGCTAAAACTAAAAACAAACTAAAAACTACTTCCAAAAATATTCAGCTTTGATATTAATGAGTTTTTTGGGTTCATTGAGAACATGGTTGTTGTTCAATAATAAAATTAATCCTCAAAAATACAACTTGCCTAATAATTCTGCACTCCCTGTAGACATGTGCAATTTGTTTCGGTCCGAATTTAAATTCGGACGAATTTCAGCAATTCGGACATTCGAATGCCTTCGAATGTCTGAATTGTTGTATTTCCGAAGTGCCGAATTTTTTCCGAACCTTTCTCAAATCTGTTTTTGCTGTTGATCAAAAAGAAGGCAAACAACCCAATTTGAAGTGCTTGAGAATACCATAGCTGGCCTCTTCCGATTGTTACAGGGCACAGGAGCTCTTTACTCCAATATAGCATCTAATTTCTATAAAATGTAATGGAATGAAGTCAGGACTAGAAAAATAAAGAATAATTACAATACTGAATTTTCTCTTTAGCTATAAATCTGTCAGAGGATATTTTACCACAGTGAATAATCATAATTTTGGGTGGCAAGTTCACTTTAAAT